AGTGAGTGAGTGAGTGAGTGAGTGAGTGAGTGAGTGAGTGAGTGAGTGAGTGAGTGAGTGAGTGAGTGAGTGAGTGAGCGAGCGAGTGAGTGAGTTGGGTGGATTGAATGTGTGGGTGGGCGGTTTTTTGGGGGGTTAGTGAGTGAGTTTGGCTTGTGGGTTGGTAGTAACACCGACATTCCTTCTAGCTGGTACTGCATTAACATTCTTATTAAAATGCAATCTGGTATTGCCTTGTATTCCCTTTTGGCTAGGGCTACATTAGAATTCTTTCTCGCCGGGTCTGCCTCAGAATTCCTTCTAACTGTGACTATCCTAGAATTCCTTCTCGCTAGAACAGCCTTAGCACCCCTTCTTGCTAGTACTACTATAGGTAAATGTACCGTAAACGGTAAATGTAGCTTAAATAGAGATCGGTTGATTTAAAATCCCAATGAGATTTCAACGGGCAGAACGGCCCGTAAACCAGGTGGCGTTAAGTCCCACTGACCAATAACGTTTTGGTATAGACACGCGTACATATAGCCACTCGAAGATGGCGCAACAATGATCGTGAGTGGAGAGCGCCGTACTGTGTGGCCTTTTCACCTGCGGAGACCTTTGTTGAACGATCACGAGCATATTGTCGAGTGATTTCCCGAGTGGTCTAGCTGTTTATCCAGGGTACATGCGATACTAGTACGTCGTCAGATGTTATAGTAACACGTACTGATGATGATGGTGTGTCGCATGGGAGCTCGCTGGATGGAGCTTTCTGCTGCCAGTGATGAATTTATGTGCAATTCAAGTGATGCTCGGTCGAGTGAGAATCGCGAGGACTGCGATGCTGCAGTGTCACACGTGTCCGGGCATATTGAGAAGGCGCGAATTGACAAAGCGATAACATCCAGGTGTTGCACCCTGTCTACAATAATTTCTCGGTTGTTACCATAGAAATATGTGTAGAGACACGCTTACTTTTACTCTGGCGTCATTTGTTAAGTACAGGACGATCGGCGAATCAGCGTTCTAGTCTATCTAGTATATCATTTCTATGGTTGTTACTCTCTGTCTGTAACTATTTCACCGTGGTCATTTTCCTCCCACAGGTATTCCAGCGGTTATTCGATCACGTGTTCAAGATCGTGGCTTCAACCGGGGGCGGTGTGGAAGGCCAGCAGTTCAGTGAATACCTCTTGTCGCGACGGAACGTCCCCTTGTAGATCCCCTTGTACATTTTACCCGGCTGCATGCGATCCTCAACGTCTACAGATGATGTTCTGCCAAAGTCTGGGAATGGCGGAAAATTTTTGAATAATATATAATAAGCTAGACAGATTTATTAAAAAAAAGAATTATAACGAGCGCGCCCTCTGTAAATCAGCGTGCCGTATGGAGACACATCGTGGTATTGCCACTGGCGTACAATGTCAGTCAGTTGGTTGATCTCTTATTATACATGCTTTTCGACTATTTAGCATATCCTTGTGAGATAAAAGTGTGTATTTATCGGTTATAATTATACCATGTATGTACTACTCAGACACATCCGCAATCACACACACTCGCTCACGAATGCACGCACGCACACACACATGCACACACATACACACACGCATGTATCTATGTATGTTTGTATTTATGTACGTATGAGTAGTAGGCTCCTGAGAAATATTAGTCGCTGATATTTCTTCTGATGTTAATATTCAGTGAGAATTCATATAGATTTACTAGTTCACCTGGCGATATCAAAGGATTAGTGAATCGTATCAACTCCGTTAATATCTCGCATGTAGTTGATACGGGCAATTGTTATAAATAAATAAATAAATATATATATCTCTGTATAATAACTAATTTTCTATCATATCGCCGTGTTATTGATGGCGAAACGGATCCTTTATACAGTATCATTTTGTATAAAAAAAATTCAAATCCATCATTGTTGTAGCACCAAAAGTTATCACGAAACCCTTCATACATTGCGTACAGATGCGCCTGCGTTGAAAATCTGATCGAAAAAACTATGCCGCAACAAAACATTATTCAGGGAAGGTAAATAGCAAGAATAATTGTACAAGTTGATATCTAAACCACCCAAGATCGCTGTGATCATATAGCAGACAAGTTGCATAACTATATATTATATTCGCTCACGTAAGTTTCTCCTTGTTAAATCATAAATACGAGGGAAAACTATAGTCGTCGCCTGATCGTTTGACTTAAAATCAATGTCGCGTAACCGTGTAAGCTATAGTATAGCTTTATTGTTTATATCTGTGATTAATTCGATCACGTCGTTTTTATGACCAGCCTAACAGAAACCTCTATAGTAGTGTCTGTATATGTCTGTAGTATATGTCTGTGAAAAGCTTCTCACAGACAACTCTACGCTTTTATTCCTCAAAGATTGCGTCCTTTTTTCTGTCTATATCCGTGTGGCTTAATTTTAAATATCCGTAAATAAATTTAATTATTACCTTGGTGGCGACATGCAGGCGCTACGACATAGTGTTAGTAGATGGTTTCATTAGACCCTTCCTATATAAACTAATGAACTTATATGCCGTGTTCCAGTGTTTTGTACGTGTTTTGCGAAGGATTCCATAATTAATATTTCGTGGTCAGCTTCCAGGTTCGTTTAGTTTTGGCTAGATATAAGAAACTATCGAACGAGTCATTAAGCAGAAGGTGACTTCTTTCAAAACAAAATTATAGTACAGATCTAATCGTCTAATTATATTTGCTATTTTATTCGTTTTATCCGAGTATTTATGACACATATTCCCGCAGATTTCAATATGTATGTATAAACCACAATTTGTAAATATTTAATGTAAAATTTATCGTTGTCAACAATAAATTGAAGCAGAATGGTCATAGAATCTCGTTTTACTCGTAGCTGGTATTGTTACTCGGACTTCTACGTGCTGTTTCTTACTCGCTATCACTACGTAAGCATGTTAATAAAGATTAAAAATGTACAACAACAAACAAACAAACAAACAAACAAACACACACTAAACAAACAAAAACCACTGGGTTATCTATTTTCGTGCTTGTACTAGATACATAAAACGAAGATACATAAGATAGATAGATAATGTGAATACATAATGATAACGATAACGATATGTGCAGTATTTTCAGAGTAATTTCTGGGCAAACAATGCAGGTATAACGCTGACTCTCTCTCTCTCTCTCTCTCTCTCTCTCTCTCTCTCTCTCTCTCTCTCTCT